ATACTTTCACGGCTTGTTGTTGCCACCCGCACGCAACGGGATCGTCATCCTCTCCCTATTCCCTTTCTCCCACCCCGCATAAATTTGATTTTGGTGAGCAAATCTGTGCGAAGGAGAAGCCCACACACTTGGACAGAAGCGCCTCCCTCATGCCACAAAGGGGACTGACACGTTAAATCTACTGAAACATGTACACTGAATATATATATATATATATATATATATATATATATATATATATATAATGATGGATTCTCCCGTCGTTTCCGATGTATGAGTGCCTTTTAGTTCAGTTTTTTTTTATTCCTGTACCTGTCCCCGTCGCCTTAACTCGTTGCTCAGGTGAAATAGCAAAGAAGGAACACAGAACTGAACTGCAGACTATCCACACAAAAGATTTGTTTAGAATGGTGAGGGCTTGTGTAGAAGCAGCCACACTTATGGAAAGTGCTGATAACAAGGAGTTGGTGCAAATATTTGGTTCAAATATATATATATATATATATATATATATATATATATATATATATATATATAAATCGCGAAGAAAATCATAAATATTCATTTTGGTTATAATATATTTCGTGAATATCGAGAATTTGTTCTGAAGAGTGAATCCCTACCAGTCACAAACTGGTAATATTTATACTTATATATATATATATATATATTTCGGATACAATACACATATATTTCGGATACAATACACATATATTTTCGATGTCCTCTTATTACTAAGAGAAAAAAAACAAGAACAACATCTATTATATACCTGAAGATGTCTGTATGAACAGACGAAAGCTTGTGTAAAATAACAACTAATACGGCAGAAATTTATATGAACAAGGATCAATTCATTCATAACGGATCTAAGGTTTTTGTGTACTATTTGAATTGTTTGCGAGATGGATGTCTCGCCATTTAAAATCATTAACCTTTTGCATTAGTTTTGTGTGAATAATTCATGTATTTGTATATATATATATATATATATATATATATATATATATATATATATATATATATATATATATATATATATAATGGGCAGGAAAAATGTACATACACGTACAAATACTTGCATGTACGTAAATATATTTATTCCGAAGGTGTTATAAATACAGTGCCCAATGTTATGGAACAGTGCTTTCACTAACACACATACACACACATACACACACACACGCACACATATATATATATATATATATTCATGCAAAACATAATGCAGCACTTATTTCTAGTAACAGCGTTACTTAGAACTATTACTTCGCTACTTATTTCATAATTTATTTGATACAGTAATTTTATTAGTGCGCTGCTTAAATGATATTTTCAAACTTTATAAAATTTGATTGAAAACAATGAATAAAATGTCAAAACTTGAAACGATGCCACATGTAATAGTGAATTTAAATTTAATTTTTTAAAAATTATTTTTTAAAAATTCAAATTATAAGATTTATGTAAATTAATTAACTATTATAGCAGACATTGCTTACTTCGGTCTGCTTCTCTTGTTCCTTTCAACATATCCTGCAAAACATTTTACTTAAAATTTCCATAGATTTTGCGGCTCTGTTCATGTTTCTATTTTGTTGTCAAATGTTCACTCGAACATGACAGTGAAAAATTCAGCTAAGAAAAATTTGCTGCGATTTTTTCAACAAAGTGAAATGCTTCAATTGAAAAAGTTTGCAAAAATATAAAAACAGTTTTGTTCTTATATGTGTGATGCCCAAACCTTTCTTTTGACACTAATATAATAGATGGGTACAAAAATATTGCTAATGAAACATACATAATTGAAGGATTGCTGCCTAAATAATATATATATATATATATATATATATATATATATATATATATATATATATATATATATATATATATCCAGTCTCCTGACGATCACGGTAGCATGAAACTTAATACATATATATATATATATATATATATATATATATATATATATATATATGGAGAGAGAGAGAGAGAGAGAGGGAGAAGGAGAAAGAGAGAGAGATGAAATTGATGCTCTATTGAGTTATGGTGCAGTGATTGATTTGGCCAGTATTAAACTATACACTTTTTTCTCCTTGATGACGTCCTTTGTTTTTTTCGGCTGTAGGTTTTGGGTCGTTGCCCTGCTGCATGAAAAACTTCCTCCCAATTAATTTGGATGCCATTCTCTGTAAATGAGCAGACACATGTTTCTGTAGACTTCTGAATTTATTGTGCTGCTACCATCACGAGTTTCATCAATAAATATGGATGCGCCTGTTCGAGAAGCCATCATGCAAGCCCAACCCAAGACACAGCTTCTACCTTGCTTCAGAGATGAGTTTGTATGCTTAGGATCATAAGCAGATCCTTTCTTTCTCCACACTTTGGCCTTTTCATTACTTTGGTAAAGATCAAGCTTGGTCTCATTATCCATAAAGCTTTCTACAAGAAATTCGTCGCTAATTTCTGTACTTCCTTCCAAATTTCCTATCTATCCCTTTTTGCATCATGCGTTATGGCCACTATAATTCTGCTCTTGAAATCTTCTACGAACGCTGGATTGTAATACCTTCAATCCTACATTGTGGGGGTTGCTGGTGATGTCACTGACTCTTGTTTCGGGGTTTCTCCTCACAGCTCCCACAATGTTTCTTTTATCAACTACTATTTTTTTTCCTTGGTCGACCTGTTCTGTGTCTGTTGCTCAGTAAACCTGTAATTTCTTTCTTTTTCAAGACATTCCAATTATTGTGTTGGCTATGTTCAATATTTAATGTTCTTCGCAAACTGGAGTTCAACCATTTCTGTCCAGACCCCAGATAAGAGGCCTACCAAACGTTGTCACATGACTTTAGCTGATACTGCGTTAAAATATTGATCACGACAGATACGTCAATTCTTTCAAAATATTGATGTAGTAACAGCCAAAAGTAGAAGGATAACTTTAATTCAAAACCACGGGAAACCACTTTCCCACAAATTCGTAAATTTTATATATATATATATATATATATATATATATATATATATATATATATATATATATATATATATATATACACTACGTCAGAAGTCTCAAAATCATGCGTTTCATAATAAAATTTTATTAATCGAGCGACGTTGACAAATCTGAAGGTTGTAATTGTGTTTATGATAAATATACAATACAATTTTAATCGTACGTTTTATTCGAAATATTTACAAGAACTTATGTTGGGAGGTTCGATTTTATGAAATTTCATATAATATTTTAGTTATTGATATTTATATTTTGAGTTGTGTGTGTGTGTTTGGTTTGGTTTGATTTGTTTTACGGCATATCAACCTCAATGGGTTATTTAATGCCGACAAGATTTTTAGGATAGGTTCGTTTGAATAGAATATGTATTCTTTGGTTTAGTTTGGTTTCGTTTATTTTGTTTTACGGCATATCAACCTCAATGGGTTATTTGATGGCGACAAGATTTTTATTGCTGATAATATTCTTTTCCGAAAATGTATTGGTGGTAATCTTTTTTAAGAAAAAATGTATTGCTGGTAATAATGTATCACTGATAATAAATATTTATTCAAATATTTCATTGCTGATAATAATTTTTTTACAAAAATGTATCGCTGGTAATACAACCCACTTTTACACTTTTGACCCCAGTTTGTGGGTTAACTATTTGTCCATAGCTGAGACCCCTAACAAATGCTACCAACCCGGTCAGGGTGGACCTGAAAATACCAGCAATTAAGATGTGGTTCCACGCCCCTCAAAACCTCCTGATCAGAGGCCTTGCTGTTGGATGTAGTTTATCGCCTTACCCATGATGGGTTTGTATGTATGTGTTTGTGTGTGTGTGCACACACAAACATACACTATTATTAATTCTAAACCATATGACTTCAAAAGATGATATATCGCAACTGAGTAATTAGAAGCAAACCTTAGTTATTACTAAGAGATATATCAGAGTTTTATAAAGAAGAAAAGCTGAGTAACATAAAGAATATAATGGCTTTAAAATGTCAGATAAAGAGATTTTTAAAAAAAATTAATAATAAAAGTGGATTGACCATTAAAAATGATCTTGTGAATTTTCAGAGGGAAACGAGGTTGAATATTAAGAACATTGTTTGCTTTCAAACTTCTGCATTTATGTAAGCATCACATGTTGACGAAATAGTAAATAAAAGCTAATTTCTCAACAGTGATTTCTAATGATGAATATAGAGCTATCTTGGATTAATCTGATGCCTGGTCTAGATACAGTTCTTTATCAAAATAAAAATAATAGTTTGTCAATATATTAATCGAATATAAAACTTGTAGTAAATTAACCCTTTGGCCCCTGCGTTCCTGAATAATAGTAACCATTCTGGCTGAGCTCCTGTGTCAAAATTTGCAAATAATTGGTATATAATGTTTCACGATAGATATAAAAATAGTTAAAAATATAGTGTTTAAAATAATGTTTACCCAACGTTCAACCGGTGGCTGGACATTAAGTCATTTCTCTCTACCACTGTTCAACCAGTGACTGGGCATTACGTCATTTTTCTCTACCACTGGTAAAGCAGTGGTTAGGGCTCAAGGGGTTAAAAGACATATACGCATATGGTAATGAAGAGATTGTTTTTTTACGACTTATCAATCTTCTTGAGGTTATTTAAATTCGAAAAATTCTGGTATTGTAAGAATTTTTTTTGAGCTTTTCTGATACAAGTCCTACTACTTAACTCAAAAATTCGAGGAGAAAAGAGGATTTATGATTTTCACAAGGACATTTGCACGTAAGTGAATATAACCAACCCGGCTGAAATTCGATCTCGGCTCAGCGATTTCACATTCCGAATCGTTATCCATTACACTACTCATACATTCAAGATTACATTGTTTCCGAGTAGTCACCCATCTATCTACTGACCAGTTTCAACGTTGCTTAACTTCGATGATCGGACGAAAATCGGTTTTTCAACGCGATATGGCCGTAAGCATATCGCACCACACGCTTACATCACCTGACTTTCCCAAGTGGTCACCAATCAAAGTACTGAGCAGGCTCGACCTTGCTTAACTTCGGTGATCGAACGGGAATAGGTGTTTCAACGCGATATAGCCGTAAGCCTTATTAGAATGGAAAGGGGCAGTAGTGAGTTCAATCTTCACTGGGTGCTCCATACTTTCGGCCTTGTGCCACATGTAGGCTACGTTTAGAAAATCACTGAAATGGAAAACACTATTCTGCAAAGAACGATCTCTGAGAACCAATAAAAAAACAGCTGCAGGCAATGTTAAATTCAAAACAGTAGAGAAATTAACAAGATCAGTAGAAGAAAGCTGGCTGTCGTCAGGAGGGTACAGCAGTCAAAACGTTGCAAGTATAAAACCAAAATGAGCATACACTTAAGAAGTCCAGTTGTAAGAAAAAAAAATATATGCCTAATGCAACTCACTATCACTGCCAAGAAAATAGATTCAAATACTGAAATATTCAATAAATAAGATGCAATGGTTACGTAATTAAAAAAATCCCTAGAATAAACAGCCTTCATCTGGCAAATACGCATTCGGAAGTAACGCTACAGCAGATAATTACTAAACAAATCAGTCAGTCAGTTATGTGCCATGCATGATACACGCTTAGACAGACGAGGCAGATTATTTCCTGCAGTAGGTTGCCATTTCTTTCTGCAGTAGACCAGTTACCATCCAAGGCTATAGAAACCGAGCTGTCCTGCTATTTACCCATAGCTAGATGTGAAGAAGAGGATTCATACCTTTCCCAAGATTATTTGCGCCTAAGTGAATATCAGTCAGTTATGTGCCATGAGTGATACCCGCTTAGGCGATCATGTATCTTTCGATAAGAAACTGACGAGGCAGATTTTTTCCCGCAGTAGATTGCCATTTCTTCCTCCGGTAGACCAGTGGCCATTCAAGGCTACAGAACACGGTTTGTCCTGCTATTTACCCATAGTTGTTTTGAATCCTTTTTCCTAAAGATATTTTATTTTCAGTGTCAATAATCCATACGGTATTAGCACATAATTGAATGTAATGGATTCGACTGGAACTTCAACTCGGCTCTCCAATTGCTCAGTCCGAGCCGCTATCCATAACTCCACCGTACTTAAGTGTACTGAGCTAAATCCGAACATGGAGGCATTTATAATGGCTGCGCAGAAGTAAAAGCCTCTTTAACAGGCAAATATAATAATGATGTCTACACAATATGCATATTATGTGAATATCTTAAGAGTGTTGACCTCGAAGTGGCTGGTTGTCCAATATGACCCCAAAGAAATACCAAAGTCCTCATAATGTAGTTAGTACGCAGTGAACCGCATAATGTAAAACTGGTATGGACAGCATTCTGAAAACTAGAGTCACTCTTGTTTGTGACTTCACCATTCATACTAACATATAACAACTAACAGATGAGTCATTATGATTAAAGAATATGAACAGGAAAAAAAGTCTTTTCATGATTATGACTGTGCCATCTGGTAAAACGTTTAAAGTATTAAAGTTGGTGCATAATTATCAGGCGTTTTTTAAACAATATTCATTATGAAAAAAGAAGCATAACAATTTAAGAATAACATGTTTAAATGATTATTCCGGAGCGTATGATTATCGACAGGCATTTTTATAAACTGAAAATAAAATATTTTTATGAAAAAAAATAAACAAAACAGCAATATTTATTAACAAATAACTCGGCTACAGAAACGCCTGATAATTATGCCAAACCAATATATGTTTGGTTTGGTTTGGTTTGGTTTGGTTAACGGCCTAGCAACTCCTTATGGATCACTTAGTGCCGAAATTTTCTTTTCTTTTGATTGGTTTGGTTTGGTTTACGGCATATCAATCTCAATGGGTTATTTAATACTGACAATATTTTTTAGTATAGATTCGTATGTATAGAATATGTATTCTTTGGTTTAGTTTGGTTTCGTTTATTTTGTTTTACGGCATGTCAACCTCAATTTATTAATTATTTATCAAGTTATTTAATACCGACAAGATTTTTATTGCTGGTAATATTTTTTTCAAAAATAAATTGTTGGTAATATTTTTTTTTAAAAAATGTATTGCCGGTAATATTTTTCTTTTTCAAAAATGTGTTACTGGTAAAAAAAAAAACCTATTTTTATACTTTCATAGTGTTTTGACCAATTTTGAGGCGGTGGTTAACTATTTGCCCATACCTGGGACCCTGGTATGTGCTACCATTCCGGTCATGGTAGACCTGGGAACACCAGTAATTATGAGGATAATGATGGGATGTTACTTGTTCCTTTGTTTATTTGTTTTGTTTTATGTCATATAAACCTCAATGGGTTATTTAATGCCGACAAAAATTTTATTTCTGGTAATATTTCTCTCCAAAAATGTATTGCTGTTAATATTTTTCTAAAAAAATGTATTGCTGGTAATAATGCATTGCTGGTAATAGTTTGCAAAAAAAAAAAATGTATTGCTGATATTAAAACCTATTTTTACACTTTCATAGTGTTTTGACCCAAGTTTGGGAGCCGACTATTTTCCCATAGCTCGGACCCTAACAGGTGCTACCACCACGAGTCAGGGTGGACCTGGGAATACCAAATATTAAGAGGTGGTTCCCCGCTTCTTAAACCTCTGGTCAAAAGGCCTTGCTGTTGGACGTAGTTTATCGTCTTACCCAGGACGCGTATGTAGTTTATTGTCATATACATATATATTCTCTTTCGAATTTTTTTTCAAAAATGTTTTGCTCGTAATTTTTTTTACCCGATAATATATTAGTGGTAATTATTTATTAATTTATTTTACTCTTAGAATATATTTCTGTGTTTTTTTGTAATGTATTTTTATGTTTTGAACCCCGTTTTGAGGCTCACTGTTTGCCCATAGCTGGGACCGTAACAGGTGCTACCACCCTCAGTCAAGGTCAGCCTGATAACAATAGCAATTAAGAGGTGGTTAAACGCTCCTGAAAACTTCCGCCTCAGAAGCCTTGCTGCAGGACGTAGCTTGTCGTCATACCCATGACGTTTAAAGCATAAGACAAAATAAGTAAATATAAGGATCTTGAAATGGAAAATGCCTAGCATCTTAAAAGTACCTCTGTATCTGAAGGCCAGGGAATTATCAAGGCCATTAACAGGATCCCTGACAGCCACTGTTTAGAAGTTATTTTAAAAAATAGCATTGTTGTAATCGTCGTCACATCATCATCGTAGTCGGGATCATTGAGCCAATGCAAACGATCCTTTCTGTAGCTGTATAGTATGTGCTTTGCCAGGCTTTTAAATTCAGAGTTGTCGTTCTTCTAGAGCGGTTGCCCCCCTAAGGTTATACAGCCCAGTCTGTCCTGCTATTTATCCATAGATGAGGGGAGAAGGTATGAATCCGGAATGAATAATGGATCCGACTGGAATTCGAAGTCGGCTCTCCGATTCCTCAACCGACCCGCCATCCATTACGCCACGTGCCTCCTACACAGGATATTATTACCAATGTAAAGAAAATATAAACACTGTACATGTTAAGTATCGCTTAACATTAGAATTTGTGCAAAAGAGATTGCATCTATTGACGGTCTTGTCTTAACCCAGGTCATGCGTTATGGTATGACATTGTACAGAAAAGAAAGCAAGCATAAGAAAATCTTTGTTGCCATATTTATCACAACATTTCGGCCGTTGTACGCTCTGGCCTTTTTCATGTGGTTGGAATGTCGAACTGAAACCTTTACTTCGCTCACTGGGATAGACTGTTCTAGTTCCACGTACCATGTCTAATGGATGTCAGCTATCAGTTATCACCTGTTAATTCACCTCTCCAAGTTCTCCTCTGCCTTAACCAGAACGCTGTGATGAATATAGCCAGAAAGATGAAAACAATAGTCCGAATAATGTAAATAGGGTACATAATACCTCATCTAAGAAATATAGTCAGGTACATAAGGGAATCTACTGAAACGTAAATTCGCTTTTAATGTGAAAAAGAAAGATATACTACAGTAATCAGTGGGCTAGGCCATGATAGATATTATAATTTGAAACTAAATTGATATCCAGTGTTCCCCACAAAATTGACATAATTTTAAAACCAATTATCTTGAAAACTACTAAGTCTAGCTCAATGCAATTGAACAGTTTATGCGTTGAACGTTATAAGTTTATTATGGGGCCGATTTCAAAAGAATTATGTACCTGCCTGTGACACGACACACGTCAAATCGGTAGTTAAGCTTTTACCAAACACGCTGTAGCTTGTCTTCGGTAACATTATCCAATGCGGAAGTGATTCTCATCTTGAGTTTATCAATGCTAGCAGGAAGAGGAGGGGCATAGACCAGTCCCTTCACATATCCCCATAAAAAGACGAGTATGACCGAGGCGGCCATTTTATCAGAAAAATGTCCACCAAGCCTGATCCATCTCTCTAGAGATTCTCATTGAAATAATAAAAAAAAATAAGACATTAAATATACAATCTTCATCTGTTTCGATATATTTTGTGAAAATTTGAGGTTATTTCAACAAGAATTGCCAACATTATTGGCCTGCGAAATGATGTCAAATTTTTTAGACACCCTGTATTGTTCGTTTAAATATACGTTTATTCTGAAATTATTATCATCATCAGTTACTGCCAATCTTATATAAATATAGGTATATTTTAAAATTGTTACAAGATCGATTATTTAATGACAATTTAACTGAAAACATTGAATTCCATAATAAAATCTGTGATGGTCTATACTAAAAGGCAACCAGTGATAATTCACAAGCGCAATGTTTTTTTTCTTTTCTACATTTTTCTATAGTTACGTGTTCGTTATGGTCGTATATTTGTTTCAGTGTATGGCGCACTTCATTTTCCCCAATGGTTCTGTTGCAAGGCAACCCACCTTCCTGTATCGCCCAAATGCTAGCTACGCGCTAAACAAATAGAATTAGTCTTATTACATATAAAGTAAGTTAATTTGAACGGCGGAATATCTAATAAAGTATGTCCGCGTCGCATCGCCTGAAAGTACTCCGTGCCTTCTCAACCGCATAAACTTACACTGTGAAGCGCATAAAATCCCTTTATGAATATTTACCACATCTATATTTAAGTGCT